CCCATCTCTGAGATGAGGGGATAAACTGTGAACGCTCAATGTTCTTCTCAGTTTGTTCCTTGCCCAAGGTCAATGCTTAACCCACAGAACCTCAGAGTCTGTTTGTGGGATTTTCTCCCCTTTAGATTCAGCAGTCCTTTAGACATGACATAACAAAGGATCAGAAAGTAGGTTCTCCATCACCCATACCAAAATACTCTTCTGATTATAGTCAGGGCTACCTTCTTGATATCAGTGAGGCCTAGGGTTCTTGTCAAAGAGCAACTCTTACTTCTTTGTCCATTGGTCTAAAGTCTTTTCTTTCCTCCATGCCTCATGCTCTCCCTGAAGGGGCTACTGTTACAGACAGGTTCGACCACCACTCACACAATGACTCCCAAACCTCTCCATCCAGCCCAGCTCTTTCTCATGTGCTCCAAGCCTATATGATCAAATGCCTACAAACATCTCATTAGAATTGGGAGATGTCAACTAAAACCACAATGACAGACCACTCTACACCTGTTCAAAGTATGCAATTTCATAAGTTTGACATCTCTTTACACCCATGACACTATCACCACAATCAAGATTATGAAGCGTCCATCTCTCTGGAGATGGTCATGGGATTTTTCTCCTTATTCATCCGATGAGTTATATGGCTAGGTTTCTTCATCTTGAACCTCCACTGTGTTTCTAGAATAAACTATCTGGTTAAGATGTATTTGATTTCCTAATATGTTCTTGATTCTGTTTGCTGATATTCTAGTATTTCTAACTCAAATTCATAAATGAGATTGATCTGGAATTTGGTTTTTAATCAGTCCAGTCTTCCTAAGTTTTGGAATCAAACCAAAATCATGGTTTGATGTAATAAGAGCAATTTGGAGGATTTCCTTCTCCTTACATGTTCTGGGATGGTTTAAGGAACATGAAGCCCCAGACTCTGCCAGGAATCCCGGGTGAGAAGGGAAGTGACAACCCTCCGGCCCTGTCTCCCCCAGCCTTTGTGCTTCTAATTGGAGGCATCGAAGTCGGCCTGTCCTACTTCCCCTTCTTCGCCTGCCTCTCGTCAGAGTTCCGGCTGGTCAGTGCCATTCTCGGCTTCAGCTACTCTCTGATATGGTAAGATGGGCTCTGCCTGCCTGCCTCCCGCATCTCCTTGGCCATGACTGAGCTCTGGACAAAGGACTGGAAGTGGCCTGAGAGCTCAGTGCCCAGAAGGGGAGAGTGAGGCCCAGGGTAGGCAGCAGCGACTTGTCCAAGATCCCACTGCAGCCTCTTCTTGGGTTGAACTTGAGGTTTCAGAAGGTCTGGCCAGCGTTTGTCTGCCTCACAAGGGGTCTTTTCTGAAAGCCCCTCCTAGAAGTCACACATTTAGAAAAATTAATTTCTATAAAAGCCAAGGGTCTCATTGGGGGAAGCAGGCGCTCCTCCCTGCTGGATGCTTCTGCTCAACAGTGTCATAGCTTCCCTTGGAACCCAGAAGAAGGTCCATGTGCCTTAGCTTGGAATTCAGGGCCCATCAGAGTCTGATCTCTCCCTACTTCACCCACTACCAGTCTCCAGCACACATCTCCAGTCATACAAATCTCCTACATTCATTCATCCAACCACTTATTCATTCAACAAACATTCTACTACATCCCCACTCTGAGCTAGGGAATACACTGGAAAACAAGGCAGGACCTCGTGGATCATGTGTGCTGGCACCTTTGTCCATAGCCTGCTGTTCCCTGTGTAAATCATCTCTCTCCCTGGTCTAGTGATAAATACATACTCATT